GCATAGGAGTGTACCGGGGGGGGGGTGTTAAGTTAGTAGCTGCTAGTGCAAGAACTTTGAATTGCCTTATCTCTTGTCTAAATATTTTTATCTGTAGCTTCCTTTCTTCTGTTGCACGACTTGTTATCGTCTACGAGGGGAGAGAGAGAGATACCGTCGTTGTCTCACTGAGGAGTAGTTAGGTCGTTAGAACAACCTTGATTGCTGGAAGATCTTCCAGTACGTCACACATGGAGATAGAGAGAGTGACAGACACAGATATAGACGCGAGATTCCATCCCCAAGACACAGAACAATAAACGACTTCACACAGCACAGATATCTCTACCTGACAAGGGTCTTCAAGGCTATAAAAGTCGCCAGGTAGCCTGCTCCCCAAGGCGCTCTGGACACATATTTTTCCTTCAGGAAACAGGAAATTCAATCTCATTCGAAATGCTTCCAACGAGCCAAAGGTCAGGTTATCTTGAGGTTATCTTGAGATGATTTCGGGGCTTAGTGTCCCCCCGGCCCAGTCCTAGACCAGGCCTCCACCTCCAGGAGGCAGCGCGTGACAGCTGACTAACACCCTGGTACCTATTTTACTGCTAGGTAACAGGGGCATAGGGTGAAAGAAACTCTGCCCATTGTTTCTCGCCGGCGCCTGGGATCGAACCCAGGATCACAGGATCACAAGTCCAGTGTGCTGTCCACTTGGCCGACCGGCTCCCTAGTAGGTCAGGCATAGTGGGCTTCGTAAATTTTCTGCCGCGATATCACACGTTTCTCTTAACTATAATCAGGTTAACAAGCCATCATTTTATACGGTACATCCGAATGTATCTATCAGCATCTATCGTAGAGAGAGAGACCAAGGCTCTCTCTCTCTCTCTCTTACAAGCTACAGAACTTGCAAGCTGAGCCACAAATCAAAGCTTGGAGGAGATCTTGACGACTGCCCACACCTCCAAGCAGGCTACGGGCTCACCATAGCCCGTGCTACTTGGAACTTTTTGTACCAGGTAGCGAATCTTCAATCCAATCAGGCGTCAACATTGATCCCATAACACGGCCTAATCATCATTGGAGGAGCTGGAACAGTTGCAACAGCCAGTTAGGGGGGAGGGGGGGGGGGAAGGCTGCCCAACCAGCAACACATGTTTGCTGCCATGTTTCTGTTGCTTGATCGAGTGCAACAGTGTTTCCTGTTTGCCCCAAACACACTGTCTCCAGACTTACAACAGTGAGCATTCAACAGGAACCAACTTTTCCTTCTCTTCTTAAACTTCTTAAACAACTTCTTAAACTTGAACTTCTTAAACAATTCTTCCTTCTTTAATCACTGAAGTCGTAATTGGAGAGTACTGTGGAGTACTGGGGGGTTCTGGGGAGTACTGGGGAGTATTGTGGAGTACTGTGGGGTACTAGGGAGTACTGGGGGAGTACTGGGGAGTACTGGGGGGTTCTGGGGGGTTCTGGGGAGTACTAGGAGGTACTGGGGAGTACTGGGGGGTACTGTGGAGTACTAGGGAGTACTGGGGAGTATTAGGGGGTACTGGGGAGTACTGGGGAGTACTGGGGAGTACTGTGGAGTACTGGGGAGTACTGTGGAGTACTGGGGAGTACTGGGGAGTACTGAGGGGTACTGGGGAGTACTGGGGAGTACTGTGGAGTACTGGGGGTACTGGGGAGTACTGGGGAGTACTGAGGGGTACTGGGGAGTACTGTGGAGTACTGGGGGGTACTGGGGAGTACTGTGGAGTACTGTGGAGTACTGGGGAGTACTGTGGAGTACTGGGGAGTACTGTGGAGTACTGGGGAGTACTGGGGAGTACTGAGGGGTACTGGGGAGTACTGGAGAGTACTGGTGAGTACTGGGGAGTGCTGTGGAGTACTGGGGTGTACTGGGGAGTACTGGGGAGTACTGTGGAGTACTGGAGAGTACTGTGGAGTACTGGGGGGTACTAGGGAGTACTGGGGAGTACTGGGGGGTTCTGGGGAGTACTGGGGGGTATTGGGGAGTACTGGGGGGTATTGGGGAGTACTGGGGGGTTCTGGGGAGTACTGGGGGGTACTGGGGAGTATTGGGGAGTACTGGGGAGTACTAGGGAGTACTGGAAAGTACTGGAGAGTACTGGGGTGTACTGGGGAGTACTGGGGAGTACTGAGGAGTACTGGGAAATACTAGAGAGTACTGGGGAGTACTGGGGAGTACTGGGGAGTACTGGGAAGTACTGGAGAGTACTGGAGAGTACTGGGGTGTACTGGGGAGTACTGGGGAGTACTGGAGAGTACTGGAGAGTACTGGAGAGTACTGGGGAGTACTGGGGAGTACTGGGGAGTACTGGGGAGTACTGGGAAGTACTAGAGAGTACTGGAGAGTACTGGGGAGTACTGGGAAGTACTGGGGAGTACTGGGAAGTACTAGAGAGTACTGGGGAGTACTGGGGAGTACTGGGGAGTACTGGGGAGTACTGGGGAGTACTGGGAAGTACTGGAGAGTACTGGAGAGTACTGGGGTGTACTGGGGAGTACTGGGAGTACTGTAGAGTAGTGGGAAGTACTAGGGAGTACTGGGGAGTACTGGGGTGTACTGAGAAGTACTGAGGGAGTACTGGGGAGTACTGGGGAGTACTAGGGAGTACTGGGAAGTACTAGAGAGTACTGGAGAGTACTGGGGAGTACTGGGGAGTACTGGGGAGTACTGGGGAGTACTGGGGAGTACTAGAGAGTACTGGGGAGTACTGGGGAGTACTGGGGAGTACTGGGAAGTACTGGAGAGTACTAGAGAGTACTGGGGTGTACTGGGGAGTACTAGGGAGTGCTGGGAGTACTGTAGAGTAGTGGGAAGTACTAGGGAGTACTGGGGAGTACTGGGGTGTACTGGGAAGTACTGAGGGAGTACTGGGGAGTACTGGGGAGTACTGGGGAGTACTGGGAAGTACTAGAGAGTACTGGAGAGTACTGGGGAGTACTGGGGAGTACTGGGGAGTACTGGGGAGTACTGGGAAGTACTAGAGAGTACTGGGGAGTACTGGGGAGTACTGGGGAGTACTGGGAAGTACTGGAGAGTACTGGAGAGTACTGGGGTGTACTGGGGGAGTACTGGGGAGTACTGGGAGTACTGTAGAGTAGTGGGAAGTACTAGGGAGTACTGGGGAGTACTGGGGTGTACTGGGAAGTACTGAGGGAGTACTGGGGAGTACTGGGGGGTACTGGGGAGTACTAGGGAGTACTGGGAGTACTGTAGAGTAGTGGGAAGTACTAGGGAGTACTGGGGAGTACTGGGGTGTACTGGGGAGTACTGGGGAGTACTGGGGAGTACTGGGGTGTACTGGGAAGTACTGAGGGAGTACTGGGGAGTACTGGGGGGCACTGGGGAGTACTGGGGAGTACTGGGGAGTACTGGGGTGTACTGGGAAGTACTGAGGGAGTACTGGGGAGTACTGGGGGGTACTGGGGAGTACTGGGGAGTACTGGGGAGTACTGGGGTGTACTGGGAAGTACTAGGGAGTACTGGGGAGTACTAGGGAGTACTGGGAAGTACTGAGGGAGTACTGGGGTGTACTGGGGAGTACTAGGGAGTACTGGGGAGTACTGAGGGAGTACTGGGGTGTACTGGGAAGTACTAGGGAATACTGGGGAGTACTGGGGAGTCCTGTATTGATATTTTTGCTGTTGATTTGGTTGGAGTTCAGCCAAATTCTTTTGCATGGTTGGCCCCCAGGACCCCCCCTACACACAACCAAATATAATAGCATGGTTGGCCGCAACACCCCCGCCCCCCCCCCATGGTTGGCCGCCCCCCCCCCCTACACACAACCAAATATAATAGCATGGTTGGCCGCAACACCCCCGCCCCCCCATGGTTGGCCGGAACACAACCAAACAACCAAATATTGTTAGTTGTGTTGGTTGAACTCAACCACATAGCTGAGTGTGGACGCGAACGATCATCGTTTAGGGGGGGTCATTAATCACTCTCTTCAGCATGGTTGAGCAGTTTGATTAATTCCACCCCCTTCTCCGGGGGGGAGCCGGTCGGCCAAGCGGACAGCATGCTGGATTCGTGGTCCTGGGTTCGATCCCAGGCGCCGGCGAGAAACAATGGGCTGAGTTTCTTTCACCCTATGCCCCCTGTTACCTAGCAGTAAAATAGGTACCTGGGTGTTAGTCAGCTGTCACGGGCTGCCTGCTTCCTGGGGATGCAGGCCTGGTCGAGGACCGGGCCGCGGGGACACTAAAAGCCCCGAAATCATCTCAAGATAACCTCAAGATGGTCGAGGAGCGGGCCGCGGGGACACTAAAGCCCTGAAATCATCTCAAGATAACCTCAAGATGGTCGAGGAGCGGGCCGCGGGGACAATAAAGCCCCGAAATCATCTCAAGATAACCTCAAGATGGTCGAGGACCGGGCCGCGGGGACACTAAAGCCCTGAAATCATCTCAAGATAACCTCAAGATGGTCGAGGAGCGGGCCGCGGGGACACTAAAGCCCCGAAATCATCTCAAGATAACCTCAAGATAACCTCTATCTAGTACGGTAGCTGTTGATAGTTACCGCTTATTGCAATTTAAGGTATTGATTAATACATGTTGATCACTATTGATCAATCGTACCCTAGTCATATTAATCACTGCTAAACACATTGACTAAACATATTGATGATGCAACACATGATTTATGTTGAGACAATTTAAACAAAAAAAAATTAGAATATGTTATATTTGATGTTGTTGCCATAAATTACAATGTTGTTGCCATAAATTACAATGTTGTTGCCATAAATTACAATGCTGTTGCCATAAATTACAATGTTGTTGCCATAAATTACAATGCTGTTGCCATGAATTACAATGTTGTTACCATGAATTACAATGCTGTTGCCATGAATTACAATGCTGTTGCCATGAATTACAATGTTGTTACCATGAATTACAATGCTGTTGCCATGAATTACAATGTTGTTGCCATGAATTACAATGTTGTTACCATGAATTACAATGCTGTTGCCATGAATTACAATGTTGTTGCCATAAATTACAATGTCGTTGCCATAAATTACAATATTGTTGCCATAAATTACAATGTTGTTGCCATAAATTACAATGCTGTTGCCATAAATTACAATGTTGTTGCCATAAATTACAATGTTGCTGCCATAAATTACAATGCTGTTGCCATAAATTACAATGCTGTTGCCATAAATTACAATGTTGTTGCCATAAATTACAATGTTGTTGCCATAAATTACAATGTCGTTGCCATAAATTACAATGCTGTTGCCATAAATTACAATGCTGTTGCCATAAATTACAATGTCGTTGCCATAAATTACAATGTTGTTGCCATACTTACACGTGGCTATTTTACAGGCGGTGAAGAACCACTTAGTGCCACATTGTAAGTGCCACGGACTATCTGGCTCTTGCACCCACAGGACCTGTTGGAGGAGGTTACCTCCTTTCCGGAGTGTGGGCCGACACCTGAAGGATAGGTTCAACGCTGCTATAAAGGTGTGTGAGTGTGTGTGTGTGTGTGTGTGGGTGTGTGTGTGTGTGTGTGTGTGTGTGTGTGTGTGTGTGGGTGTGTGTGGGTGTGTGTGGGTGTGTGTGGGTGTGTGTGGGTGTGTGTGTGTGTGTGTGTGTGTGTGTGTGTGTGTGTGTGTGTGTGTGTGTGTGTGTGTGTGTGTGTGTGTGTGTGTGTGTGTGTGTGTGTGTGTGTGTGTGTGTGGGTGTGTGTGTGTGTGTGTGTGTGTGTGTGTGTGTGTGTGTGTGTGTGTGTGTGGTGTGTGTGTGTGTGTGTGTGTGTGTGTGTGTGTGTGTGTGTGTGTGTGGGTGTGTGTGGGTGTGTGTGGGTGTGTGTGTGTGGATGTGTGTGTGTGTGTGTGTGGGTGTGTGTGTGTGTGTGTGTGTGTGTGTGTGTGTGTGTGTGTGTGTGTGTGTGTGTGTGTGTGTGTGTGTGTGTGTGTGTGTGTGTGTGTGTGAGTGTGTGTGTGTGTGTGTGTGTGTGTGTGTGTGTGTGTGTGTGTGTGTGTGTGTGTGTGTGTGTGTGTGTGTGTGTGTGTGTGTGTGTGTGTGTGTGTGTGTGTGTGTGTGTGTGTGTGTGTGTGTGTGTGTGTGTGTGTGTGTGTGTGTGTGTGTGTGTGTGTGTGTGTGTGTGTGTGAGTGTGTGAGTGTGTGTTCACCTAGTTGTATTCACGTGTTTGTGCTTGCGGGGGTTGAGCTCTGGCTCTTTGGTCCCGCCTCTCAACTGTCAGTCAACTGGTGTACAGATTCCTGTGCCTATTGGGCTCTATCATATCAACACTTGAAACTGTGTATGGAGTCAGCCTCCACCACATCACTGCCTAATGCATTCCATTTGTCAACCACTCTGACACTAAAAAAGTTCTTTCTAATATCTCTGTGGCTCATTTGGGCACTCAGTTTCCACCTGTGTCCCCTAGTGCGTGTGCCCCTTATGTTAAATAGACTGTCTTTATCTACCTTATCAATTCCCTTCAGAATCTTGAATGTGGTGATCATGTCCCCCCCTAACTCTTCTGTCTTCCAGCGAAGTGAGGTTTAATTCCCGTAGTCTCTCCTCGTAGCTCATACCTCTCAGCTCGGGTACTAGTCTGGTGGCAAACCTTTGAACCTTTTCCAGTTTAGTCTTATCCTTGACTAGATATGGACTCCATGCTGGGGCTGCATACTCCAGGATTGGCCTGACATATGTGGTATACAAAGTTCTGAATGATTCTTTACACAAGTTTCTGAATGCCGTTCGTATGTTGGCCAGCCTGGCATATGCCGCTGATGTTATCCGCTTGATATGTGCTGCAGGAGACAGGTCTGGCGTGATATCAACCCCCAAGTCTTTTTCCTTCTCTGACTCCTGAAGAATTTCCTCTCCCAGATGATACCTTGTATCTGGCCTCCTGCTCCCTACACCTATCTTCATTACATTACATTTGGTTGGGTTAAACTCTAACAACCATTTGTTCGACCATTCCTTCAGCTTGTCTAGGTCTTCTTGAAGCCTCAAACAGTCCTCTTCTGTTTTAATCCTTCTCATAATTTAGCATCGTCCGCAAACATTGAGAGAAATGAATCGATACCCTCTGGGAGATCATTTACATATATCAGAAACAAGATAGGACCGAGTACAGAGCCCTGTGGGACTCCACTGGTGACTTCACGCCAATCGGAGGTCTCACCCCTCACCGTAACTCTCTGCTTCCTATTGCTTAGATACTCCCTTATCCACTGGAGCACCTTACCAGCTACACCTGCCTGTCTCTCCAGCTTATGTACCAGCCTCTTATGCGGTACTGTGTCAAAGGCTTTCCGACAATCCAAGAAAATGCAGTCCGCCCAGCCCTCTCTTTCTTGCTTAATCTTTGTCACCTGATCGTAGAATTCTATCAAGCCTGTAAGGCAAGATTTACCCTTCCTGAACCCATGTTGGCGATTTGTCACGAAGTCCCTTCTCTCCAGATGTGTTACCAGGTTTTTTCTCACGATCTTCTCCATCACCTTGCATGGTATACAAGTCAAGGACACTGGCCTGTAGTTCAGTGCCTCTTGTCTGTCGCCCTTTTTGTATATTGGGACCACATTCGCCGTCTTCCATATTTCTGGTAGGTCTCCCGTCTCTAGTGACTTACTATACACTATGGAGAGTGGCAAGCAAAGTGCCTCTGCACACTCTTTCAGTATCCATGTGTGTGTGTGTGTGTGTGTGTGTGTGTGTGTGTGTGTGTGTGTGTGTGTGTGTGTGTGTGTGTGTGTGTGTGTGTGTGTGTGTGTGTGTCAGTCATTGTCTCTAATAATCTGTATCCTCCCATCACTAGACGTTTTAAAATCATTCAGAAATTTGTAAACACAATGTAGCGAAGACTGTAGTTGATTTATGATTATTATTATTAATGTCAGTCCCCGTGGTGTAGTGGTTAAGACACTCGCCTGGCGTTTCACGAGCGCTTTGCCCTGGGTTCGTATCCAGGCCCGGGAGGATTAACTGGGCACCAATCCTTAACTGTATAGCCTCTGTTTACCCAACAGTAAAAGGGGTACCTGATTGTTAAACGATTTGGCGGGTCGTATTCCAGGGAAAATTTAGGATTGAGAACTTATAACCCCAAGTAACGCGTTGCAATGATTCCATTGGATTGCAGAAGTTGAAAGTAACGAGGTGATATAATTACAGGTAATTCCCAGTAATGATGGAGAGACGGTCATTCCTGATACAGAGTCCGTGAGGTCTCCAAGAAAGCAAGACCTTGTCTTCCTCGAGAACTCGCCAAGCTTCTGCAGGTATGGCTCAGGTGATGGGTGGGTGTGTGGCTCAGGTGATGGGTGGGGGTGTGGCTCAGGTGATGGGTGGGGGTGTGGCTCAGGTGATGGGTGGGGGTGTGTGGCTCAGGTGATGGGTGGGGGTGTGTGGCTCAGGTGATGGGTGGGGGTGTGGCTCAGGTGATGGGTGGGTGTGTGGCTCAGGTGATGGGTGGGAGTGTGGCTCAGGTGATGGGTGGGGGTGTGGCTCAGGTGATGGGTGGGAGTGTGGCTCAGGTGATGGGTGGGGGTGTGGCTCAGGTGATGGGTGGGAGTGTGGCTCAGGTGATGGGTGGGGGTGTGGCTCAGGTGATGGGTGGGAGTGTGGCTCAGGTGATGGGTGGGAGTGTGGCTCAGGTGATGGGTGGGAGTGTGGCTCAGGTGATGGGTGGGGGTGTGGCTCAGGTGATGGGTGGGAGTGTGGCTCAGGTGACGGGTGGGAGTGTGGCTCAGGTGATGGGTGGGAGTGTGGCTTAGGTGATGGGTGGGGGTGTGGCTCAGGTGATGGGTGGGAGTGTGGCTCAGGTGATGGGTGGGAGTGTGGCTCAGGTGATGGGTGGGGGTGTGGCTCAGGTGATGGGTGGGGGTGTGGCTCAGGTGATGGGTGGGGGTGTGGCTCAGGTGATGGGTTGGGGTGTGGCTCAGGTGATGGGTGGGCTTGTGGCTCAGGTGATGGGTGGGGGTGTGGCTCAGGTGATGGGTGGGGGTGTGGCTCAGGTGATGGGTGGGGGTATGGCTCAGGTGATGGGTGAGGGTGTGGCTCAGGTGATGGGTGGGGGTGTGGCTCAGGTGATGGGTGAGGGTGTGGCTCAGGTAATGGGTGGAGGTGTGGCTCAGGTGATGGGTGGGGGTGTGGCTCAGGTGATGGGTGGGGGTGTGGCTCAGGTGATGGGTGGGGTTGTGGCTCAGGTGATGGGTGGGGGTGTGGCTCAGGTGATAGGTGGGGGTGTGGCTCAGGTGATGGGTGGGGGTGTGGCTCAGGTGATAGGTGGGGGTGTGGCTCAGGTGATGGGTGGGGGTGTGGCTCAGGTGATGGGTGGGGGTGTGGCTCAGGTGATGGGTGGGGGTGTGGCTCAGGTGATGGGTGGGGGTGTGGCTCAGGTGATAGGTGGGGGTGTGGCTCAGGTGATGGGTGGAGGTGTGGCTCAGGTGATGGGTGGGGGTGTGGCTCAGGTGATGGGTGGAGGTGTGGCTCAGGTGATGGGTGGGGGTGTGGCTCAGGTGATGGGTGGGGGTGTGGCTCAGGTGATGGGTGGGGGTGTGGCTCAGGTGATGGGTGGAGGTGTGGCTTAGGTGATGGGTGGGGGTGTGGCTCAGGTGATGGGTGGGGGGTGTGGCTCAGGTGATGGGTGGGGGTGTGGCTCAGGTGATGGGTGGGGGTGTGTGGCTCAGGTGATGGGTGGGGGTGTGGCTCTGTGTGTACCAAGAAACAACCCATTTTTCCCCCATTAGCTTAAGCTCACTTCGAGCATGCCCAGTGCCCAGTCAATCCCTCCTGCGACAGGACCCGTCTGATACCCGTCTCTCTCTGCCCCACAGTGCTAACAAGAGGACAGGGTCTCTGGGTACCAGGGGTCGTGTCTGTAACGCCACCTCGTACGACCTCTCAGGATGTGAAGTGATGTGCTGTGGCAGAGGTTACGTCCAAGAGGAGCACTATGTGAGTTCTGGTGTATGTCTGTATCTCTCTGTGTCTCTGTGTCTGTGTCTCTCTGTGTCTCTGTCTCTCTCTGTGTCTCTGTCTCTCTCTGTGTCTCTATCTGTCTGTCTGTCTGTCTCTGTGTCTCTCTCTCTCTCTCTGTTTCTGTCTCTCTTTGTGTCTCTGTCTCTCTCTGTGTTTCTGTGTCTCTGTCTGTCTCTGTCTGTGTCTCTGTCTGTCTCTGTCTGTCTCTGTGTCTCTGTCTGTCTCTCTCTGTGTCTCTATGTGTCTCTCTGTCTCTCTCTGTGTCTCTATGTGTCTCTGTCTGTCTCTCTGTGTCTCTGTCTGTGTCTCTCTGTGTCTCTGTCTCTCTGTGTCTCTGTCTCTCTCTGTGTCTATCTGTCTGTCTGTCTCTCTCTGTGTCTATCTGTCTGTCTGTCTCTCTCTGTCTCTGTCTGTCTCTGTGTCTCTGTCTGTGTCTCTGTCTCTCTCTGTCTCTCTCTGTGTCTCTGTCTTTCTCTGTCTCTCTCTGTGTCTCTGTCTGTCTCTGTCTCTCTCTCTGTCTCTCTGTCTCTCATAGGCCATCATGACCTTAAACAACTATCTATAACTTCATTTCGCATCACGTTACTGAAAATTTTCACTTCTCATAGAAGATATATTCTGAAAATTTAAATTATTTGAAATTCGTGACGTTTGTAATATATATATAATATATATTATATACATTCTTAAGGAGGTACTTCGAATCTGACAGGACTGAAAGGACCATTTTTCTAACTAGTAATTCAATAAAGGTGTTCACACAATTAAATGAAACATGTAAATAAGCCATTTAATGGATTTTAGAATGTTTTCAAAAACATTAAAATATGGTAAACATAACCCATTTTTTATGTTTAATTTTCTAATTTTTGTTTACATATAGAAATTTGATATATAGAGTTTTTGTTGTATATAATAATTGGGTAAGAAAATTTTTTTTAGCAATGAAATCATTATTTTTCACCTTTTTGCCTAAGACTCAGGATTAACATTACTTATAAATGTTTAAATATGTTTATTTGATATGAGTAAATTAGTAAATATAAGTTAGTGTGTAAAACATCCCCTGGAATTATTACAATGGTTAGATATGATGATCTTGATCGTGGTGATGTTGTACTGATGTTTACAAGAATGTTTAAATGTTTAACTAGCATACTTTGTTGGTAGTATGCCAGGATGATGTTATTGTATCTCTCTCTGTGTCTCTGTCTCTCTCTCTCTGTCTCTCTGTCTCTCTCTCTCTCTCTCTCTCTCTCTCTCTCTCTCTCTCTCTCTCTCTCTCTCTCTCTCTCTCTCTCTCTCTCTCTCTCTCTCTCTCTCTCTCTCTCTCTCATTACAATGAGAAAATGGGAAAATGCTGACGTTTATAATCCCATTTATTATAACTAATCCCTATAATTTCTCTCTTTGTGTTTCACCGTAACGACCCCCAATCACCTAGTGTGACCCCTAGTTAACCCGCTGACCCCCCCGGCGACCCCTCTATCATCACTCACACTGAAAATGGTCAAATTAATGCCCATTTGGACCAGTTCTGACCCATTTAACCACCTGTGTATTATGCTCCACAGGTGGAGGAGAACTGCAGGTGCAGATTCACCTATTGCTGTAAGGTGACCTGCCAGAAATGTAGAAGAAAGAAGCTCACTTCTCGGTGCAGATAGAGAAATTACTGCTGATAATAATGACACTAATTGATAACAATTACCTTGTTATTGATGGCTTGTGATAGGGAATTCGAAAGGATTTAGAAAACAATGTTTTGTTTTAATACCTGTGACTTGGATAAGAATGTTTTTTGTCCTACAAGAAGTGTTTAAAGTGATTGAAAATCATAGTGTGCGAGAGATAGACAGTGAATGGCTTGTGTTTGTTAACTATTCAACTACTGCTTGTTAGTGTGATTGACACTGGGGGTTTGTGCACTTTAGTGCCACAGATGAGGTCTAATTGAGTCATTAGACCGTTTGGGTAGTATTTCGTCCCATTGGGTCGGAAAGAGTGCATTTATATATATATATTATATATATATATATATATATATATATATATATATATATATATATATATATATATATATATATATATATATATATATATATATATACATATATATGTCGTACCTAGTAGCCAGAACGCACTTCTCAGTCTACTATGCAAGGCCCGATTTGCCTATTAAGCCAAGTTTTCATGAATTAATTGTTTTTCGACTACCTACCCTACCTAACCTAACCTAACCTAACTTTTTCGGTTACCTAACCTAACCTATAAAGATAGGTTAGGTTAGGTTAGGTAGGGTTGGTTAGGTTTGGTCATATATCTACGTTAATTTTAACTCCAATAAAAAAAAATTGACCTCATACATAATGAAATGGGCAGCTTTATCATTTCATAAGAAAAAAATTAGAGAAAATATATTAATTCAGTAAAACTTGGCTTATTAGGCAAATCGGGCCTCGCATAGTAGGCTGAGAAGTGAGTTCTGGCTACTAGGTACGACATATATATATATATATATATATATATATATATATATATATATATATATATATATATATGTCGTACCTAATAGCCAGAACGCACTTCTCAGCCTACTATTCAAGGCCCGATTTGCCTAATAAGCCAAGTTTTCATGAATTATTGTTTTTTCGTCTACCTAACCTACCTAACCTAACCTAACCTAGCTTTTTTTGGCTACCTAACCTAACCTTACCTATAAATATAGGTTAGGTTAGGTTAGGTAGGGTTGGTTAGGTTAGGTTAGGTTAGGTTAGGTTCGGTCATATATCTACGTTAATTTTAACTCCAATAAAAAAAATTGACCTCATACATAGAGAAAAGGGTTGCTTTATCATTTCATAAGAAAAAAATTATAGTAAATATATTAATTCAGGAAAACTTGGCTTATTAGGCAAATCGGGCCTTGAATAGTAGGCTGAGAAGTGAGTTCTGGCTACTAGGTACGACATATATATATATATATATATATATATATATATATATATATATATATATATATATATATATATATATATATACATACAAAAGAACATGGCTTTTGGCTAAACCGTTGTTAATAATTTTGATAAAATAATTTTGACTTTATGCTGTACATATGTGATGTATTTTGAAAGATTTGTGTAGTGCATACAACAGGCTTTTTTTTTGGTATGGTACTGATAATACAATATACTGTATATTGCGATCTCTATAAGTTTAAGCGGCTAATCAAGCTAGACAAGATTAGCTGATTTGCAATTCTGTTGTAGGCTACCTTGAGGTGCTTCCGGGGCTTAGTGTCCCCGCGGCCCGGTCGTCGACCAGGCCTCCTATAGGAGGCAGGAATAGATATATATATATATTTTTGTTTTGATTGAAGAAATTAGCTACGAGGGCTTTTGTCAAAATAATTATATGCTCTAAATATAATTACAGTAATTATACTGTAATTATATGACGTTAAAGCATAAGTTTGGCAAACCTTTAGAGATACTAATGCAGAAATGGCCACATGTATATTAAATAATAATCTTGTAATATTTTGAAATTGGAGGTTATAGATTATGATATGAATTCTTAAGGTCTTCTTTTATTTATTTATAATAAAAAAATCACAGCTATGCCTTTGGAATTCCTCAATATTTGAAGAATTTCCACTTTTGCTCACGCTTGGACTCTGTTACACAGTTACACAGTTCTGTACCACTCTTAGTACACTCTGAGACACTTCCAGGACACCATGAGACACTCTGAGACACTCTGAGACACTTCCAGGACACCCTGAGACACTCTGAGACACCCTGAGACACTCTGAGACACTCTGAGACACCCTGAGACACTCTGAGACACCCTGAGACACTCTGAGACACTCTGAGACACTCTGAGACACTCTGAGACACTCTGAGACCCCCTGAGACACTCTGAGACACTCTGAGACACCCTGAGACTCTCTGAGACACCCTGAGACACTCTGAGACACTCTGAGACACTTCCAGGACACCCTGAGACACTCTGAGACACTCTGAGACACTCTGAGACACTCTGAGACACTCTGAGACACCCTGAGACACTCTGAGACACTCTGAGACACTCTGAGACACTCCGAGACCCCCTGAGACACTCTGAGACTCTCTGAGACACCCTGAGGTACTCCGAGACACCCTGAGACACTCTGAGACACTCTGAGACACTCTGAGACACTCTGAGACACTTCCAGGACACCATGAGACACTCTGAGACACTCTGTGACACTTCCAGGACACCCTGAGACACTCTGAGACACCCTGAGACACTCTGAGACACTCTGAGACACTCTGAGACACCCTGAGACACTCTGAGACACCCTGAGACACTCTGAGACACTCTGAGACACTCTGAGACACTCTGAGACACTCTGAGACCCCCTGAGACACTCTGAGACACTCTGAGACACCCTGAGACACTCTGAGACACTCTGAGACCCCCTGAGACACTCTGAGACACTCTGAGACACCCTGAGACACTCTGAGACACTCTGAGACCCCCTGAGACACTCTGAGACACTCTGAGACACCCTGAGACACTCTGAGACACTCTGAGACACTTCCAGGACACCCTGAGACACCCTGAGACACTCTGAGACACTCTGAGACACCCTGAGACACTCTGAGACACTCTGAGACACTTCCAGGACACCCTGAGACACTCTGAGACACTCTGAGACACTCTGAGACACTCTGAGACACTCCGAGACCCCCTGAGACACTCTGAGACACTCTGAGACACCCTGAGACACTCTGAGACACTCTGAGACACCCTGAGACACTCTGAGACACTCTGAGACACTTCCAGGACACCCTGAGACACTCTGAGACACTCTGAGACACTCTGAGACACTCTGAGACACTCCGAGACCCCCTGAGACACTCTGAGACACTCTGAGACACCCTGAGACACTCTGAGACACTCTGAGACACTCTGAGACACTCAATACACTCCCAGTACACTCTCAGAATACCTTGTATTCTCTAAGTACACACTGAGAGAACCCAGTACTCATTCAGCACTCTCTCAGGACTCTCTGAGAACCCTCTATACATACAGTACACTTTTAAGTATACTTAGTACACTCCTAGTACACTAAGTACATTCCTAGTAAACTCTGAATACACATAGGTACACTTGTACACATTTGAGGGTACAAGTGTACATTCAAAGCTCATTAAGTCCATTTTTAATACACTTTTAATGTACTCTCAACACACGTTAAGTACACATTAAGTATACACGTTGTATAGCCTCTACCAGCGTATACTTTATGTATCCTCTATCATGTATACACCAGAAACTGTGTATGGAGTCAGCCTCCACCACATACACTAGGCAGGGATGTGGTGGAGGCTGACTCTATACACAGTTTCTGGTGTATACTTTATGTATCCTCTATCATGTATACACCAGAAACTGTGTATAGAGTCAGCCTCCACCACATACACTAGGCAGTGATGTGGTGGAGGCTGACTCTATACACAGTTTCAAGTGTAGATATGATAGAGCCCAATAGGCTCAGGAACCTGTACACCTGTTGATTGACAGTCGAGAGGCGGGACCAAAGAGCCAGAGCTCAACTACACTACAACATGACCAAGAACACTACATTCACAACAGAAACATTCACAAGTCTACTCACAACACACTGACTCACAACCCTGTCACTCGTATTAAACTTACTGAAAACTCGAAATAAAGTTGATAAAGTTAGAAATAGAATTTAATTTATTGAAAATCCAAGATATAAAATCTCCAACTCCAGTGTCTATCCCATTAATGTCTGTCTGTGGAACATTATCAGTTGTCTCTGTCTCTTTCCCCCTTATCTCTTCTCTCTGTCTCTTTCCCCCTTATCTCTTATCTCTGTCTCTTTCCCCCTTATCTCTTCTCTCTGTCTGTTTCCCCCTTATCTCTTCTCTCTGTCTCTTTCCCCCTTATCTCTTCTCTCTGTCTCTTTCCCCCTTATCTCTTCTCTCTGTCTCTTTCCCCCTTATCTCTTCTCTCTGTCTCTTTCCCCCTTATCTCTTCTCTCTGTCTCTTTCCCCCTTATCTCTTCTCTCTGTCTCTTTCCCCCTTATCTCTTCTCTCTGTCTCTTTCCCCCTTATCTCTTATCTCTGTCTCTTTCCCCCTTATCTCTTCTCTCTGTCTCTTTCCCCCTTATCTCTTCTCTCTGTCTCTTTCCCCCTTATCTCTTCTCTCTGTCTCTTTCCCCCTTATCTCTTATCTCTGTCTCTGTCCATTTACCCCTTAGACAGTCATAAGGAAATCCCACCAAAAAGGAATATAAAATTTCTTTATAGCATTTATAGTTCTTAGTTTTTTTAGTGGGGCAGCTGGCTCTATCACACCCAGCTGGCTCTATCACACCCAGCTGGCTCTATCACACCCAGCTGGCTCTATCACACCCAGCTGGTCTTGTATGGTGTGACAGCTGGCTCTATCACCCCCAGCTGGTCTTGTATGGTGGGGCAGCTGGCTCTATCACCCCCAGCTGGCTCTATCACACCCAGCTGGCTCTATCACACCCAGCTGGCTCTATCACCCCCAGCTGGCTCTATCACACCCAGCTGGCTCTATCACCCCCAGCTGGCTCTATCACACCCAGCTGGCTCTATCACCCCCAGCTGGCTCTATCACACCCAGCTGGCTCTATCACACCCAGCTGGCTCTATCACCCCCAGCTGGCTCTATCACACCCAGCTGGCTCTATCACACCCAGCTGGCTCTATCACACCCAGCTGGCTCTATCACACCCAGCTGGTCTTGTATGGTGTGACAGCTGGCTCTATCACCCCCAGCTGGTCTTGTATGGTGGGGCAGCTGGCTCTATCACCCCCAGCTGGCTCTATCACACCCAGCTGGCTCTATCACACCCAGCTGGCTCTATCACCCCCAGCTGGCTCTATCACACCCAGCTGGCTCTATCACCCCCAGCTGGCTCTATCACACCCAGCTGGCTCTATCACCCCCAGCTGGCTCTATCACACCCAG